TATATATATATATATATATATATATATATATATATATATATATATGAGAATGGATGCCCTCAACTCATGGGCTGACTGCAGCACAGTGTTAGCCAATGGCTCGTCACAACCTTATTTCGTATTTGAATTTTCATTTTTTTTTCTACAAATCCAAATCTTCTAAAAATTTATTCGTACATTCTATTCATCAAGGCGCACCTAATAAAAATATAAAAAATAATTTAAAAATATAAATTGATCAAAATATCCTCAAAATATTTCGGAGGTATTTTATTTAATTTATATTTTTTAAATATTTTTATTAGATTTTATTATTTTTTAAAAACTGAAGCTCAAAATTTCAAATAATTTAGATTTGTATAAAAAAAAATTCAAATATAAAATAAAATCATAAACATTAAATTGAGTACAAATTTAATCTAAACCGTTGATTGGCACAACAATGTAATTGCTTGCTCGGGGGCTGATAGGATATTTTCTCCATATATATAAAGCTAAGATGAGAGAGAAAATATCCCGTCTTTTACCGATAATATCTCTTTCGCTCTCTCTCAACTTGGTGGTTGCACATTCAAGCACATGATTGTGCCAACACGGAACCCAATCTTTGAGTCTTCTTTTGTCTCAATGCTCAAAATATTCTAATAAAAGGTCATTCAAATTTACTTCTTTTGTTTTTCTCCATAGGTGTATCGCTTGAAGATTTCACAATTGGCCAAAAGATCTGCCTTTCCATTTTCCAGCTTAATAACAAATATATGCCTCGCACGTTTCGGAGTTGCTCATTGTCGCACACGTCTCCATCCAAATTTTGATAGAGGGTCGCTCAAGTTATTAGGCAAGCATTGTCGTATATAGACTTTTCCTTTGTATATTTTGACTGTGAAAAATCTGATGACCGCCCAAAGGCGAAGAACGATAATGACTTCCCTCCCCTATTTTTTGGAGGCCAGACCTATTTAAGAAGTATTTTGAGGAAGTTTTCTGAACAATTACTTCTTTGAACTGAGTCAAGGCTGTCTAAATCATACGAGTTGTTGGATCTGGTCTATCAAAACATCGTTTTATTGTTTTGAATATGAGTAAAGTTTTTTTTTTAAAATTTTAAATTTGGAGGCCAGACCTATTTAAGAAGTATTTTGAGAAAGTTTTGTGAACAATTACTTTTTTGAACTGAGTCAAGGCTGTCTAAATCATATGAGTTGTTGGATCTGGTCTATCAAAACATCGTTTTATTGTTTTGAATATGAGTAAAGTTTTTTTTTTTAAATTTAAGAAGTCGTTTGTATAAGGCGGCTAACTTTACTGGTAGGAATAAGGTTGTGATGTTATGTATTATTTATTTTAATTGAAAAGTGTGGATTTAGTACGTTTTTTTAAGACAATATAAAAGATTTATACTTTTTTAAATATATTGCAAAATATGTATTGTCCAAACAAAATGGATAACATGGATTACTGCAACTTTACTTTTATAAGTAACGTTACAATCTTATATACACGTTTCCTTTAAATTATTTATTGAAATACGAGTTTGGAGTTAACAAAGTTTTTGTAGCCTAACAAAACCCTTTCATCTAACACTAGTTTTCCTTTCATGTCATGGACAATTTGTGATCATTTTACTTTTTCTCTCTTCAAAAAAAGAAAAAAAAGAAAAAATATAGAATATAAATTTATATCAGTTCCATTAAAAAAATATGATTTTTTGAATATCTTTTGAAAAACTTGAAGTTCTTAAAGGACTTTAAAAAATTGATTTTTTTAAAAAATCGTGTTTTAAACCAAGACTTGCAAACTGTGGTTATTACTTGATCCCGTCTGTTAGTTGTCTGCAAGCGGTTCTCTGATCAACTTATTTAATTGATATTGGAGTTGCACCATCGGAAACTCAATCCCCACTCAGTTATTCTCCATTATTTTTCTGTCTTTAGTGAAGATCTGCCGGTGAAGTCTGTCAATATGTTGTTACTCAAGCCTAGCATATCTTGCCTTCCGTTCCCGAGGCTTTGTGATCAGTCTTGGATTCTACCATCCTGTGCTCTGATTCACTGAACATCTTTTAATCTTGTAAATATCACTCTTGAAGATCAGATCTGATATTTCATGTCCTCTTTTTCTCAGTCAATGGTTCGCACCCAACATTGTCTCTCTAGTCGCAACCTTATGAAAGTCCCTAATTGTTTCCAGGGAGAGTTTGAGAGTAAGGGAGGCTCTATGAACAATCCTTTGATGTCTCTGTTTTTCTCATATTCGGTGGTCACACGTGAGGCTTGAAGGTCAGAGATATGAAATTTGAAGAGTCATCCTTAACCAGTTACTTTGTGAAGAATCTCGAACATGTGATAAAAGCTGACGCAGTGATTCTTGCCAAGTATGACATTCTTAAAAGAAAAAGAAAATAAAGAAAGACAAACTTGCAAAAGAATGACTAAAACTCCGCAATGAGAACCTAGTTAAATTTCTGGGCCACAGTGCAATACCTTCATTTCCAAATTGTTTCATGCATTAGAGGATGGTACCATCTTAATTTCAGTTGAGAGTGTGGATACTATCAGACAAGTGGAATTATCCCTTGCAGTTATTAGTGCAGATCCCGTTGAACTGAGGAAACTTATCCCCATAGCTTGATCGACTTTCCAGTTCTACTGCCCAATCACTCTTATCAAAACCTGGTTCCTGGCCCTGTGTCAATGTCTCACCTAAAACTGTTCGTGTGAAGAGGGTATATAATTAGACTGGTATCTCTAATGTTTATGTTGTGTTAAGTTTAGGTCTTTCGAGGCTTTGGTTCAATTCAAAGTGTAGGGTTCTCAAGAACCCCTTAATTTGCGGAATCGGGAATCTCAAATATCGGGATTCCATCCAAGATCATGTACTCAATCGGCTAAATGTAAAGTAGATGAATATAACTATAAATCGAGTGCGAGAAATAAAGCAAACACAAACAAGCACACCACAACAACACAAGATTTACGTGGTTCACTCCGTAGGGCTACATCCACGGCCTTGGCAAGTAGAAATCCACTATCACAATGAAGATTATAATTTTAAGTAACAAAAGATAATACCTATCCCTAAACATCGGTAAAAAACCATCATCGATCTTCCCTTCTAAACCCGCTCTCCAGACTGAGTAACACCGTTGATCAACATCCTCTTTCCCACTACAATACCGCTACCTGAAAGATAACTTTGAGAGCAAGATTTTCTCTCTACCCTCGATCAACATCCTCTTTCCCACCGCAATACCGCTACCGAAAAAATAACCTCGAAAGCAATATAGAAATTTTCTTTCTTTAGAAGTGAAAGTTAACTAACTCAAAACGCATGGGAATACCGCATTTCTTGGAGGCGGTATCTCTCTCTATCTTGGAGATCCATCTCCATATTGGAAATCCATTCCCATAACCCTTAAAAAAAGTGACCCTCAAAGGATGAATATTATGTCTTCCTTCACTTTCTTATAACGATATCACTTTATTATTTATCAAAAAAGTCATTTTTTTATTAATCATAATACCTTAATCTTTAGAAGAAAATATGGGTATGGTAATTTAGCTATCATCAAAACCAACACATAGAGCTACTTTTAGTGTTTTGCATGCTCTAATTATCCAACCTCCATGTGCTCTCTCGCCGAGACTGAGAACTAGGCCGATCTAGGCATGATCAACAAAGGTTCTAAAGCTGAGACCAGCTTTTCGGCCTTCGGATCCCAAGAAACAAATAAACTTTCCACCACGTATTTCTTTACACAACCTCAAGATCTCATCCAAGTGTTATAAACCCATGCTTGAAATGCTATGACATCTGTAAAGGGAGATGAAAATTAAAAAAATAACACTGGTTCGCAAGCGACCCATCTTGCAGAGATAACTTCATCTATGACGATTACCATTGGAGTTTTCGGTCCCTGGACACAGTAAGGGCCTGAAATGACAAAAGACAGAGCATCCTTACGATTATGTTTCTTCAAACTAACAATTATAATGTTTGTTTTTAAGTAATGGCCATTTTTTACATTCATTGACATTAGTTTATTAACTAAGATTGATACCCGATACAAGGCTCCTTGATCAATTACAAACGAAATAGGGGCCCACTGTATACAACGGCATGTCTAATTTCGCCATCTAGTAACTTTTTCCTATAAATGTTGAAAGTGTCGTATTTTAAAATGACTTTAAACCATACTAAACTACACTTCAATAAAGGGAACTAATGGGGGAGTTCTTGTAGTGCTAATAGCGTTTTAAAACTCTGTGATTTCCGATCCAGATCGGTTATTCGTATGCCAAATCGGAACAGGTTCCAAGTTCGTGTGGGTCCCAATCTGGTTCCCTCCTAAAATCCCCATTTTTTTTCTTGTTTCTTAAGCATATTTAATGTCCTAATTGGTTCCCCCTTAAATCCCCACCCCATAAACATCTATTTTAATTGTTGAACTTTATTGTATTTATTTTAAAATTTTTATTGATCACTGATCCAGACGATTTGCGAAGGATTCGAATCACCAATCAAGCCAATCTGGATGGGGATTGGGGGTGGGCTAACTGTCCCACATATCCATTTTTTCAAACATTGGTACTTGCTACTTTGATGTTTAACTTCAAAAACCATACATAAAAGCACAAAAGCTCTTTGGTTGGTTAGGCCAGCTGGTGATACAATTGCTTAAGCTTAATCCCTCACAACAATGCATAATCAGGTACAAACACACTGTTATTATCTCATCTAATTATTATCATCCGAGCTTTATCCTAACAGCTAGATAATTACCATAGCTAAGCTAGCTTATTCAATAAACTCATAATTGATACCAAATTTTCAACACAATATGCCATTAACAGGCATCCCCCAGCTGTTTGCACGGTTTTAACATCACCTCTTTTATCACTCTGTCCAGATTCAGTGAAGAATACCCACCCGCCTCAACTGACTTCTCAGAAAGCTCTCTCCATCTCCTAACCTTGGCCCTCATGGCCTTCCCCTTCTCCCCATGCATCATTTCCCTAACAAGTGCCTCGACTTCTTCTCTTTTCACATCATTCTCAATCTCCATGCCCATGCCCCACTCATTGCAGGCAAACCAGCAATTAGTTTGTTGTTCAGCGAAAAATGGCCAACAAATCACTGGTATCCCACCGCATACGCTCTCCATTATCGAGTTCCAACCACAATGTGTCAGGAACACGCCGACGGCGGGATGCAACAACACCTTCTCTTGATTGCACCAACTTGCGAGAAATCCCCTCTCCTTAGTGACCTCAACGAACTCTTTAGGTAACAAAGCGGCCTCCCCCTGAACTAAGTCAGGTCGGATGATCCAAACAAAGGGTGCCTCGCTATTAGCCAACCCCCATGCGAATTCCACCAGTTGGCTTGGGGTCATAGTGGTGATACTGCCGTAGTTTACGTACACGACCGAGGCAGTTTCTTGATTTCCAAGCCAATCTAGGCATCTTGTGTCTTCTTTCCAAAGGCTAGAGCCGATGGAGAGGAGTTTGGGGTCGACTAGTGTGTGACAAAGGGTGGGTAAGGGACCAATGGTGTACATGGGTGGGGCGATGGGGCGAACGAGGTTGAGGGCAGTCTGCTCGAACGCATCAAATGTATTTAAGATGAGAGCCGAGCCCTTGAGGGATGCCAGGGCTTCATCTTTGAGGAAGTTGAACATGATGTCCTCGGGATTGGTCGTTCTAATGAAGCTTGGTATGTCTTTGAGCTGGGCTCCGGGCATTCCTGGGATCCAGTCTAGAGGTGTGTTTAGGTATCCATTGCTTAGATAGCTTTCCTCTGTGAAATTAAGTGCAAAAAATCTGTCTTAGTTTCTTAACATTCGAAAGAAAATGATCTGTATTTCAATTTAGTAAGCCTGAAAGGAAGCATATCATAGCCATAAGACTGGCCGAGTTTTTGTAAAACTGGTTGCATCTCCAAGACCTATAGTTCCATGACGGCCAGTTGTAGACATGCTTATCAAACTGTTTAATACAAACTCCAGAAATAACATTTTGACATGCTTTTTCCTTATTTAATTTTTATGAATCGCAAGAGACCATACTTTTCATATGAAGATAAAACTTTCCATCTGCATTTTTTTTGGTGTATATGCCCCTTGGGTGTCTAGGCTTACAACCAAATAAATCCCTTTTATAACACCAATATAAATGCCAGAGATCCCAACCGACTCCAAATTTATGAATTCTCCCTGTTTTTTCCTTTCTCATAGTGAATTAGTTGTATATTACTTCATTTTCAAACAAACAGGAACTAGCTACTTCATTTAAAACACATTCCTCTAGCCTTTATTTTCCTTTCTCATATTGAATTAGTTGTCTATTACTTTATTTTAAAAGAAAACAGTAACTAGCTACTTGATTTGAAACACATTCATCTAGCCTGTTAGGAAAGGCCGATACTTCAACAAAAAGAACAATCAGCAATAAGATAAAAAAAACAATTACCTTTGAGAGGAACATAACCTCTCTCAATGAGCTCAGTGTACTGAAGGTAACCCCATAGCCCGGAGGCGCTCGCAGTCCAAAATATAACTTTGGGGACGCATAGCTCGTCCGCGACGGGCTGTGCAAAGTTCGTGACTCCGTCGATGACGAAGCACGTCACTTTAGGCACTTCCCCCGAGCCATTGAGCCGCAGCACCAACTCCCGAAAGGGAGCTAAGAAGCAAGTCCGAATATGATCGGAAAGCTCGGGGACATCCTGGGTAGCATCCAGGTCTGTCTCAGGCATGCCATCCGGGATGGACTCGAAACGGAAGTCCGGTACGCCATTCGACAAGTCGGGACCTCTCGATTTGAGGAGCCTCTTGTGGTTGAACTCTGTGTTCACATAAGTTATGTGGAAACCTTTCGAGTGGAGAAGCTTAGCCAGTTGCATCATGGGGCTTACATGCCCTTGTGCAGGGTAAGGAATGCACACTGCATGAGGCTTCACTTCAAGTTGGGCGCCCATACCTTTGATCCACTGCTTATTGGATGGCTCACACCATGTACCTAGTGAGAGGGGGATTTATAACTCCAAGGAAACCGGGTTAGGTGGAACACATGATTCATTTCTTGGATTCCTGCACATGGGGACATATTCAAGAAAATTGAGGCCCAAAAATGAGTGCCATTTGCGTCGTCAAGTTCGCTAATCAATACATGAATGATGTCGGGATATGACCTAAGCTTTATGATAGGAAGTAAAGTTTTCCACATGAAAGCCTCCCCAAAAATACATTTAAAGGGTTAGAAGCCATTATAATCGTTTGAAAATATATTTTTACCTCCATATTACGAAATTTGAAGCTCCGGTCTAAGTATACCGATTTATAAACACTTAAAATAAATTATACTTATTCACCACGAAAAAAAATTGAACAATGCAAAATGGTGTAGATCTATAAGATTTATGAACAATTCTAGGGCCAAAAACCCTTGTGATGGTTTGAAAATCTATTTCTGTCACCGATTATTAAATTTGAAGCTCCAAAATGGTATAGATCTATAAGATTTGTGAACATATGAAGAAGAACGATCCAGATGATGCATTGCAAGATGCATAATTTTTAAAGCTTGATTCACAAATGTGGTGGTTGAGATCGTCGATTCAGGTTTTCCGAGAACAGTCTTTCTAAGCGAGATTTAAGCTTCAACATTAAAAAGCTGAAGTCTGGAAGGACTTTATGCTAATAAATACGGTTGATATTTATCTGGGATTTTATACAATGAGACCATTTACCTTTGATACAAGGTGGTCACAATTACTTACAACTATCCGATGTGAAATTTGATAGCTTGAATGTATCACAAAGTTCGAGAAAATTTCTTTTGAAGTTTGAACTTTGTCAATGGAATAATTGCAGCCACCCATTTTCACATCTAATGGTCGAGATTAATGTGACCACCTTGTACCAAAAGTAAACGGTCTTATTCTATGCTTTCTTTATCTATAAATATATATGTAAACTACATAAATGGATTTTTTAATGCTTATAGTACATATTTTCAAGTCTTTTATATTTGAAAAAAGCTTATATAGAGCTGAGATTCTAAACAATTAAATTCGAGCCCACCTCAAAAATTTCATTAGAAGAGGTTGTTTTGATGTCCAAATATCCTCAAATTGATCATCTCGACATCAAGATGCATGGCCATGAGAAAAAAAATGAATTTTAAGTTTTGAAAATAATGCATATTACAACGCATTTTTGGACAGTCAATTTTAAAGATTTACAAGTTTTCATAGACTTGCTCGATCTACACTATTTTTGAAGCTTTAAATTTTATAATTAAAAATAAAAATATTTTTTAAGCTATGACAAAGATTTTCAGTATTGAAACCATATGGCTCATTTTTCATTAAACCTGTTTCTCTCTAACACTTCTTTTGAAGGATCTCGTATTCTGTGGCTCATTTTTAATTAAAACAGACTCTCTCTCTCTCGCTAATAATTCACTTACAAACATTGGGGCCACTTCTGCTGACTTCTAGATATATGTTCCATTGTGGACATGTTTAAAGAATATTACTATATTCTACTCCTCACACGTTGGTAAATGTTAAAAGCGTGTGGTCTGTACAAGACGGAGGCTCTAAACAATCAAAGTAAGGCACACTTTTAAATAGTGCCGAAAGATGTTATTTTTTTATGATGGCCTCAAATTTTATTTTCATATCTAATTATAAAATTTAAAGCTTAAAAAATATTATAGATTGAGCGGATCTATAAACACTTGAAACTTTTGAAAATTGACGGTCTACATAATACATTACAAGATACACTACTTTCAATACTTCAAATCCGTTTGTTCTCCTGTCCATATATCTTGAGATCAAGATGATCGATTTGAGGATTTTTGGACATCAAAACAACCTCTTCTAATAAATTTTTGAGATGTTTCTTAATTTGATTGTTTAAAACCCCACCCTTCTATGAATTTTTCCATGTTAAAAAGCTTTATTATATATATATATTCTACTTCCTTCTCCCCCAGTCCCGTAAAAGCTGCACTAGACCTTGTCCTATGTGTACGAATATATTCCCTCCGATTTCTTCGGCTTTGACAAGGCATACCCTTAGTTGGAAAAAGTTTATATAGATCCTGGTCTTTTTAAACTGTTACATTAAAATTTATATAAAATATTTTATTAAAAGATATTGTTTTGATGTTCAAATATTTTTAAATTGATAATCTTGATATCAAAATCCATAGACATGAAAAAAAATAAATTTCAAGTTTTAAAAATAATGCATCTTGTAATGCATTTTTGGATTGTTATTATTCAAAATTTTCAAACTTTCATATATCTGTTCAATCTACACTATTTTTTAAGTTTTAAATTTTATAATTAAAAATAAAAATATATTTTAAAACTATCACAATAATTTTCAATATTCAAACTATATTTTTACGTAGTATTTGAAGGTAGTCTATAGTGTGATTGTTTAAAGCCGCGACCCTATACAAACTTTTATGGGGTACACATGGCATTTAAGATCTGGGGGTGATTTCTTTCAATTTTTGGGTTCAAATTAAGATGTACCCTGACTTCGTAAACAACGCCTATTAATAAAGGTCACGTGATTCTTTTAAAGAAGACAACGTGTACGCATGCTACTTATTTAAGGTTTTAAAAAAATGGTGATTTGGATTAAGAATGAGAAGCCGATTTGGTTCCTACATAACATAAGTAGTGACAATTTTTATGACTGAATTGGCCGCTATGTCACATCACCAATTTTACGTTTATTTTTTTAATTTTGAAGGTTTTGCTCTCACTCTTCTTCTTTTTTTAATTTCTTATCAGCAGGTTTACCAGGTCACCGATCTGCTCAATGAGATCAACCGGTCAGTTTTTTAAAACCTGATTCTACTAGAAATATTTCTACATTGTCCACGTTTATCTTATGCGGGCTGGTTTTCAGAAAGTCCATCCTAAATATGGACAGGCTCTATGGGAGTAGATTGTATATTTGCTTCCTTGATATATTTCCCTCAAATTGAATAAAAAATTTTGAGTGCACTATTCCCTAATTGAATCAATCATTTTGAAGTATGAAATTAGGACTCGGGTTTCAGTGATAGGAGGATTTTTGTGGTTTAGAAAGATGCTTCTTCGATATAGGGGTTTTATTCCTTGGTCTCGACTCGAGATCCCTTCTCAAGATTGAATGAATGACTGCCACCATGCTCCAGGCCTAGAGCAATTTGGTTTGGACTATAGTTCGTAAGTTGGAGAATATCAGACTCACCACAAAATTAGAATTAAATCGGTTTTGATCCAAAACATTTGACGTAAAAATTTGGGGCAAAAATACGGATCAGCAAAAAAAAGTATAGGTAAATTTTTAGACTCGGCTGAGTGCCTCTGCTTCTCCCTGTTGCCAAGGCTGACTAGGCCCGAGTCAACGGTACAAGTGATTTTATACCCCTTGAGTAAAGGGGACTCGAGGAATTTTCAAGACTCTACTCAAATCGGTCAAACTCGCCTAAATATGCGTTTTGACGTGTAAAACTCGGTTATCAAATGTGTGGATCACAGATAAAACTCGGTTATCAAATATATAGAAAGTTTCTTGAACTTAAAATTCGAAATTTGATGGATTATTGGGCGACTTTATGTATTTTAAGAAAATGTAATTATGATACTATTTGGGTTTATCAAATAAAAACCCAAATCGAAACTTTTTGTATTGTAAGAAAATGTAATCTCTATGATACCTTTTGGGTTTCATAAAAATCCAATTCGAACAAGATTTTATCACAAAATTTATTGGTTTGTAAGGTGTTTTGAGCGGTAAATAGAAAATCTGCCAAACTTCTTTTATTCTCTATGATTTCTCCACCAAACCGATTGACTATTGGCTTGTTTTCAATCTATTGAATTCATCTAAAAAAGCCAAGTACTGATTTGTAAATCTATCAAGTTTCATTGCCGTATTTTTTCGTTTTAAGGGTTCTTTGAGCGAAAAAATAATTTCCCCCAAACCTCTTTGTTCTCGCTAATTTCTACACCAAATGGTATAATTATTAGTTTGTTTTGAAGCTATTGAAATCACATTCAAAAGCCCTCTAGAGATCCGTGGTTGTTTTGCTCCATTATCTACTCATTTCGTGCATTGAAGATGTAGTATTGATAAACTGTCAAAAAATCACCAAATATATTATTTCTCTCTAATTAATCAACCATTTTTTATGATTTTAGTTTGTTTTGAAACTTTTGAAATCATCTTCAAAATCCCTCTACAGATCCATGGTTTTTTTACTCCAATCTCGATTGATTTCGTGCATCAAAGAGGTTATATCGATGAATTGTACAAGTCTATTATTTCTCTCTAATTTTTTCAACAATTTGTTCTGATTTTTGGCTTGTTTTGAAACTTTTGAAATCAGCTTTAAAAACCCTCTATAGATCCGTGGTTTTCTTGCTCCATTGTTGGCTAATTTTATACGTCAAAGAGGTAATATCAATAAAAATGTCAAAAAATCGTAAAATCTATTATTTCTATCTAATTTCTCACTATTTTTTTTATTTTTATTATTAGTTTTTTTTTTTTAAATATTGAAATAAACTTGAAAACCCCTATACTGGTTTGCATTTTTTGGCTCCAATATCAATTGATTTAGTGCATCATAGATGTGATATCAATGTACTGTAAAAATTCAGCTACATCTGTTGTATCTCCCTAATTACTCAACAAATTTTTTGATTTTTTTATTCGTTTCAAATCTATTGAAATTAATTTCAAAAGGCCTCTATAAATTCGTAGTTTATTTACTCCAATATCGTCTAATTTTATGTATCAAAGAGGTAATATCAATGAACTGTAAAAAATTCGTAAAATCCATTATTTCTCTCTAAATTCACAAGATTGAACTTAAGACCTCTTATAGACCCGCAAAACATAAGAATTTCTTTAAGAGAGTTAGGGAAAAAATAGCTCCAAAATAAATCGCCATTAAGAAAAGTAGAATTAAAAAAAAATAACCCCTCATAAAGATGGAACTCCCAACCTCATTGCATATAATAAAAAAACCTAGAGTGCTAACCAGCATGCCTCATGCAAGAAAGATGACCATCGTGCCCGCCTTATTATATATGATGTTAACTTCCTTTGGTTTGAGATTCCATCACATGACCGGTTGTAGATAGACATGTTTTCAACAGGGATTAAAAAAATGGCGACTTGGCCCGGAATCTATCGGGTCGACACGGGAAGCACCCAATCCACGTCGTTTTAGGCAAAAAACTGGGAACCGCCCGATTCGTAACAGTAAATCGCCCATTCTGAGAGAGAACCGCCCGAGTCATGACCAAAACAGGGATGAACAGTGTTGAGACAAAAAAAAAGTCACGAGATTGCTATATATTGCAGCTCTTTCTTCAATTATTGATCAATTATAGCCGTTCTATTGCATTATTGTTCGAAATTATTCGTTTTCTTTATTATAAAACGACTAATTCAGACGATTGAATTACAATTTGTTTTTCATTTTTTACGAAAAATCCTAAATCCACCATTCTTGAGATTTCTTCAAAATATTGTATGTTTTTTATTCAAATCAGAGGGTTTTTGAACGAAATCATTTTCTATAGATGATTGTAATAAATTTTTTTGTGATTCAGCAAATATTGGATGCCAATTTTTGAAGAAATCAGAGGTTTCGTGAGAACAGTTGGTGGAAAAATAAATTCCGCAAATCTTGAGATCTGAATCGATATGGGCAAAAACTTTTCTTGACAATAGAGGGGTTTTACTTGTAATCTTGATCTTCACAAGCTATTGCAGGCTTTTTGGTTGATTTTTTGCGAAGTCAGAGGGATTTTGTGGAGAATAGTTCACGGAAAAAAAAATTCCACCAATCTTAAGATCTTGATCAATATAGGCCGAATTTTCTCTTGAAAACATAGGGGTTTTGCTAGTGATCCTGATCTTCATAACGTATTGCAGGATTTTTGTGAGATTAAGCAACACTAGTTGCACAAATTTGCAAGAAATCGAAGGTTGCTCGAAATTGAGGTATGCATAAGTATTTTTTAATTTTATTGTCATTTTATTAATGAACTAAAATATAATTAAATTTTGATTGATACATAATTAAGTATGTCATGAATGTACAATTATCATGCAATAAAAACTTGTATTTTTTATTTTTTTATTGATACTATATGATTGTAATTTTTTTTTTTTTATTCTAGGTTTCACTTTTATTTCATCAATTCACTATTGTACTATGTTTTGCTTTATTTCCATGTTATAGGTTTGAATCATGTGTTGTACTTTCATTTTTATTGTTAACTGATTACAAATGCATGGGTCCTTGCATTGTAAAATACTTAACTGGATTTTTCCATTTTTTATGATATATCTAAAGTTCATTGACTAAAATTCTTTTTCATTACTTCAAATTTAACTATTGTATTCTACACCAATGATATTAGATTTTGATGTATAGATATTGAAAAATGAATGGGTCTTTGCGTTTTAATGAAATATATGTTTTTTCTTTCATGATTTATGGTCTATCTGAAGTCCTTTGCCTAAAATCTTTTTCATTACTTCAAATTCAATTATTGGACCATGCACCAATCATATTAGGTGTTTGATATATAGATAGTAATGTCACTCACGTCTATAGGTTAAATGTGGTGTTTATTGTGGTCTACTGAGTGTGGGCATGGTCAGACCTCATGGTTCCTATCTTTAGGGAAATTGGCGTGGCTAGATTGATGCAGGTGTTGTAGACTAAAACATGTACTATGATGTGCTAGTTGTGGGCTTATGGTGTCTTCATTAGATGGGGATCAATATCAGCTGCACTTTTTGCTTTATGAATGTTGCCTCTTAGATTGATTGCAGTGGTACCAAAAAAGATTCACAAGATAATTTGTTGGAAAACATGTTGTGTATAATGGGAATCAAACCAACATTATAGGGAAATATGGGTAGATCAATAGTGAATAATAAAAAGATGCATTTAATAAAAAAATAGAATCATTAGAAAACATCAAATAATCAGCAAGGATATCTAATTCTAAAAAACAATCGGCAAGGATTTCTAGTAACTTAGGGCTTGTTTGAAAGGTGGAAGGCCCCTTTGCCACAAAAATGTAGGAAAACCACACTCCCTTATTTTTGGCTTCCACCGTTTAAACACGCCTTTAAAGAATTTAGAACTAAGTCTACCAAACCTAGTGTATGTATGTTCTTATTTCTCTTATGTTGAGTTTAGAACTACACATGGTGATTATTTTTTATGTTGAATTATCAGGTTCATTTTTAATCATTTATATCTTAAAATAATTGAACCATAGCAAATTCTAGGGAAGACCCTGCATGGTAACATGGGATCATATTTGATCCCAACTAAAAAGATAAAATTATTTGTAATTACTGCCAAAAAGTGATTAGTATTGGGGTATTTAGGTTCAAACAATACTTGGCATGAGTTAAGGGAGATGTTTCTGCGTACAATAGTGTCCCTAGCAATGTAAGAAAATAGATTACGACCATTCTCAAGGCTACCGAGGGTAAAAAAGTCACAAAGTAGAGGATGAATGAGGAGATAGCTTGCTTATACGCCATTGAGCGGAAAGAATCCCAAAGAGCAATATAATCATGACTTGGATATGACCACAAAAATAGGCTTGCACGAAACGTACCAGAGGGAAAGCGAGTTCATAATGCCTGGGGGTTATGGCATGGGCATGCATGACGGGCCCAACCCAAGCATGGATGGTAGGGCTAGCTCGAGCATGCATAGCGGGGCCAGCTCGAGCATGTATGGCAGGCCCAGCTCGAATATGTATGGAGGAGTTGGTGGTAATATGTGTCCAGAGGCACCAAACGTTGAAGAAATTATTCCTGGCTTATCTAGAAGCACCAGTATTGCAGGTTATGATCGTATAGACCCATTTCTCTCAAAGCCCAAGTCACAACAAATGACCCTCACATGCATACCGAAAGGTACAAGGAACATGTTGGGCAGTTATGTTGGTAAATAGTTATATGATAAAGGGATTCCCTTTGATGCAGCCAATATTTCATATTTCCCGCCTATGGTCAACGCAATCCATAGAGCCGGGCTAGGGGTAAAGCCCCCGATTGCACATGAGCTCAGTGGGCCAATCTTGGATGAAGAGGTGGAGGAAGTTAGAAGGCGGATTGAAGAATATAAACAGGGTTGGCCAAGAACAGAAATTACTCGCATGAGTGATGATTGGTTGAATAAAGTTAACAAAAAAGATTATCTTAACTTCTTGGCATATTCTCCAAAGGTACAACCTTTTTGTCTAGCAAAGATGTCACAGGGAAAAAGAAGGTTGCAAACTTCTTAGTACGACTATATGACTCGATAGTGGAGGATGTGGGAGATAAGCATGTGGACTAGTTTATTACGGACAATGGGGGTGCTTGTGTTTTTGCGGGCAGCAAGTTGATGGATAAGATGAAGCATTGCGGGCAGCAAGTTGATGGATAAGATGAAGCATCTAGTATGGACCCCGTGTGCTGCACACATCATCGATCTTATATTAGAAGAGATCGATGAGATCAAAATTGTGAAGGAGACTCTAGAAGCAGCAATGTTCGTGTTAAGATTTATATATAACCACTCTAAAATCTTATTTTTGTTCAGAGAACAATCTCAAAAAAAATTTAGATAATCAGGCATGCCATAACCCGCTTTGCGATAGATTATTTGGTTGTTGACTCCATTCGGGAATCCCAAGCTGCATTGAAGAGATTGTTTACCAGCCAGCGAAGAGTGGTCAAATGACCGCCTCTCAAAGTCTAGTAATGGGCTAAAAGTGGAGGGCATAGTCACAGATAGGAGGTTATGGTTTTGGTGTCCCACTGTCGTAAAAGCCAATGCCCATTTGGTCACGGTGTTAAGAATGGTGGATGCTGACAAGAAAGCTACCATGTGCATTCTTTATGAAGGTATCGAGATGACCAAATCAGCTATTTGGCAGAAATGTAGTTTTGCAATTAAATTGATCGAGATTATAGAAAGAAGGTGGAATACCAAATTTGGCCATCCGATTCATTATACAGGTATATATATATTTATATCCTTAGAATGTTTAATTCTAAAATATTTTTTTAATAAAAATTTAAATGACCTTTCTCTATCTATGTATTTTCTAGGTTACTACTTCAACCCAAATTTATTCTATTTGACACTTGAACATCTCCATAAGATTATGGAAGTGATCAAATACATTATTGTCAGGCTGGAGAGAAGCCATCGAAACCAGGTAGCGGTAATACATAAGGTAATATTTAATATTTGGGTAAGAACTTCATTGAGTTGTTATATTTATGAGGAATAACTAATGTACTAAAAAGAAATATTTTGTTTTAGCTTTCTATGTATAGGGATGCTGTAGAATCCTTCAGAACTAGACTTGCCAAGAACTTTCGAGCTAAAATGGATCCAGGTTAACCCCTAACTAATATTTTGTTCTTTTATATCTTTATTCTTATGAATTGTTCTTGCCCTTACAATGCTTTTTACATTTTAATCAAGCTAAATGGTAGGAGATATATAGTAGTGATGCACCTCACCTAAAGTGGATATCAATCAAGGTGTTCTCTCAAATATGTTCTGCTATTGGGTGTGAGCGAAACTAGAGTATGTTCAAATGGTTGCACACTACTAAGAGGAATCGACTCGCTTCGGAGAGGCTTCATAAACTAGCCTACGTTTATTACAACTTAAACCTCCGAGAGTAACAAATAAGAAGGAAGCTTGAAGACTACGGGCAGATCGACTTGGATACAATATTTGTCACTGACACAGCAAAACCATGGGTAGTAGAGGAAGACGAGCCAGTGTTGCACAAGAGAGCATTATTTGAGGCTATCAGTGAGGAATATCTTGAAGAAGGTAATGAACATCATGAAAGAGGAAGCAACCCAGGAACATATCTGTAATTTGTCGGAGATGTCGGTGGTATTGCACCTAATGAGATAGAGTGAGAAGGGGGTATAAGGGAAAATGAGAGAGATGATGATTTTGAGGCCACCCTATCCCAACCAAATTATTCACATACCGAGTCCCAACAATAAGAGGGTGGGGACGAGCACGACAATGTAAGTGAGCAAAAAGGATGGACAAACTTCGGAGATTTTGGATTAAGAGCACAACAAAACACTAACACTTAGGGATTTGGGTATAATCAAGTACACACTATTTGGATGATTTGTTTCTAGATTGAGTTAATGAATTGTCACGCGAATTCAATTAATGGTTCCAGCGTGACCAAGATAAAGAATGACTCTTTCATTTTATTATTAGGTCATATTTTATGAATTGTATGCTTTATTGTAATCCATGTATAAAGATTTACTTCATCCATGATAATTCTATGCTTGTTCTTTTATGTGACGTAAATTTAATGGTTAACAATAGTTTATGTAGGGAAAGAACAACTCAATATTCGCATATTGATGTAAAAAAATGAAAGTTCTTAATGGAGTACCCTCATTTCTTATTGGATTCCTAAAAAACAACATTTAAAATGAATTTTTTTAAAAAAAATTGGATTTTTGTTTCCAATTTTTTTCAAGGTTGAATCCGATCGATTCCCAATCTGGATTGCCGATTCACTGATCCGGATGGGTTTTTGGGGTGCCTGATTCGAGGCACCGATCCATTCTTTAAACCACTGGTTTTAACCATAATGCCGCTTACCACATCTTACTAAAAACTGGCGCCCATTATCTATATACTGAAAAATCGAACCAGAACAGTTAACTGGACATAGGACCAGAAGCGATTAAACCAGCTCAACTGGTACACTTGCCGGTTCAACTTGTCTAACTGAGCAAATCGTGGGCGGTAAAACAAATGTTAAAAAAATAAATAAAATAGAAAAGAGTCCAATAAAATGTGAAAATTATATCTAAATCACAATTAAACAAAGCACATCTGAATGGAGTTGAAAATTAATGAAAAAAAAATGGATTTTAAAGAATTGATTTGTACCCATGGGTATTTAAATTTTTTCAAAAGAGATGAAAAAATGTAAAAATAAATATTAATAGCCAAAACAATTTCCAATCTTTGCCAGAATGA